GCATGGCATCAAACACTTGGCGGGCTTGCTTGACGGCCCCAAATCTCCCGTAGAGCTGGATCAGTGTGTTCGAGAGCCTCGTGTCGTGGGCGAAGAAATCCAGCTCCTTGAGCTGGGAGTGAGCCTCTCTCGTCATCGCCAGGCTCTTGCAAGATGCCAGGAGCTGGATGCAATGGTCGCGTTCTTGGAGCATGGCGGCAAATTGCGGGGCTTCCATTCCTAAATCTTTGTACATTGTAATTCCTACTCTTTCATGACTCGAGAGACTTGCTCACTCAAGGCTTGGTTCTCTTGGTCCAGCCAATCCATGAGCTCCTCGAGGCATTGATCCTCTTCCTCGAGGCGAGAGACGCTGTGCTGGAGGCTCTCGCAGCCCTGTTCAATCTGCTCAATATGCATCTCCAAGTAGCCATTCTTCTCCTCCAGCAGTGCAATGGACTCCTCTACAGCCCGATTCTCCTGCTTTACCTGTGAGAGGCGCTCGTTCATCTCTTCCTCCAGTTGGGTGACGCACTCCTCTAGCATCTTCTTTAGAATTAACGATTCCAAGCCTCTCATATTTGCAAATGCAAAAAAAAAAATCCCTTGGCATTTCAAAGAATATTCTATTTTAATTGGGCTAAGTGACTGTTTCTTGATCACCATTTGAAGCTATGATACCTTGGATGTATAATAACTAGTAACTAATGTTAATGCTAAATGCTCATTATTCTCTCTTGTATTTAGTGTGACTAATGCTAAAAATAATGATAATTGAATTTGATTCTTTGAACATTTGAAAATGTTGATTGAAATTAAACATCAATATGTTTCACTTTATAATTTCCTCTTTAATTTGTGTTCAATTGGTATTCAATAATGCATATTATGGATTTTGTATGAGGCATTTTCTGATAATATTTGCAAAGTGTTTAAAGTTTTGAGGTTGTTCACTTGCTTTGGAAAACATGCCACACTCTCACCCCTTCAAACTTTGATGTAGCTATGGTAGAAATTTATGATAAAAATCTAGATATTTAGCAAGTAATATTTCAAAGTGTTTGAATGCATGGTTGCTTGAAACTCAAGATTTTCCTATCCTTGCAATGTTTGAATACATTTGACACAAAATAACTAATTAGTTTATTGAATGCTGATTGAAAAGTGATGGAGACATATAGCAAGACCAAAGAGGTACAACCAAAGCTAATGAACAATATAGAAAAGCTTATTTATAAATGCAATTGCACGAATTTGCTACTATATTGTCATTTTCTCAAACTTTACTTTATTTGAGATACAAACACAAGAGCATACTCGTATAGTGAATATATTAACACACTCTTACTTATGCTTTGGATGGCAAGGAATTGGATTGCCTTCTACTCACGCAGTTGTCGCAATTTTTTTAGAAGAAAGAGCATGTGCAAGTTTATGCTAACATATGTTATTTACTCTCAAAACATATCAGATATACTTTATCCTTTAGATATTAAGCATTTAGAAATGGATGGTATGTTACTACCAAAAACTTGAAAACTTCCATAGTTTCATTTTAGCCTGTTTTTCTTGCTGTTGTCTTCACTAAAGAGTAGCATCTATACAAATAGATTTCCAATACCTTGTCAAGTTTCATCACAAAGGTGGAAATCTCAACCAGGAAAACGAAAAGGTTCGTGCCTCACGTCGTCGACTGAGAACCGTGCCCTGGAGAAGCCAGGAGAGATGACTCAGAATCACTGGTCTTCGCATCAGTCATCCTGGTCAAACTCACCTCCATCAGTCCACTTCATCATTTAAAGCACAGAAACTAACCGGTGGGAAAAACGTTTGATGCGGGGCTCCATCATGTGGATTTTCTTCTCCATCTCCATTTCCATGACCTTCAGGATCTGCTTCTGTACCGCTGCTGCGCCATCTCCAGGATCGAACACGATGCCAGAACGAAAAAATGGATCCGCCACCTTCCCTCCTTGTTCCCGTCCATGAGATTGCTCCATTCCTTTGCGTGGGCACACTGGGAGCTCGTTTGCAGCCATATTCTTGCCTGCTGGTTCGAAGTGAGCAGCCGAGAATGGATCCTCTGGGTGACGAAGACGGAGGAGAGAGGCCGAGAACGGCCTTGGCTGCTCGTGAACTTCCTCAGGCGTGATAGCGATCAGAGGATCCTCCCCCATGTTTCCCTGATTTCCCTGCTGGTATGGATCAGTAGCAGGCAAGAGTGTATCCACCTGGAGGAGAGAGGCCGAGAACGGCTCACTGAAGATCAGAGGATTCTCCACCACGTTTTCTCGACTTCCCTGCTGGTCCGGATCAGTTGCACGAAGGAGTGGATCCACCTGGAGAAGAGAGGCCGAGAATGGCCTTTGCTGCTCACTAACGATCAGACAACTCTCCACCACGTTCCCCCAACATTTCTGGTGATCTGGCACTGGGTTAGCACGAAAGAGTGGATTCACCGCGACCTTGTTTCCCGATCCGGAGTCATGGCAAGCACCACCGAGAAGAGCTGAAGGTGGCAGCCGCCTTGGAGGCCTCAGGAACTCGCGAATCCGAGGATCGGCATTCAGCTGCGACGGTCGATGCTCCAGTCCATTCTCCACTTTGCTCAAGGGAATAAGATACTCCCGCTGGCTGCGGCCACCGGCACCGGGATGATGGCCACTCCCAGCATAGTGCACCAGGACCTCGTCACGCACCTTGCTTCTTCTTCTCGTGCAGTGTATCCAGATGCCGATGATGATGGCCACCATAGCCAGCAGGAATATGACGATGCCTGCCGCGAGCAAACCGGGAGATGTCACGAACACTGCTGCGGCTGCTGCTGCTGATGAAGATGGTGATGCTGATGACGCCAGACACGGAGGCGGAGCAGAAGTGGCCAGGCCAGGCATGGTCAATGGTGGCGGAGATGGCAGCCTTGGGTGCCACGTTATGGATGAAGGTGGCGGCGGCCCAAACCTCCTTGGCCTCCAAGTTATAGTGTCGTGCTTGTTGGAGGAAGCAGCAGGTGGCGTAGCAGCTTGATGTCGAGGTGGAGGGCTCTTTGCGGGCCTATACCGGGATGGTGAAGGCGGTGGTGCTCTTCTTGGCGACGGTTTGGGCCTATTGTGCGAGTGCTGCTGCGGCGGTGGCGATGGAGATGAAGCTCCGGTTGGCAGCGCTTTCGACGGCGGCCCGCTACTC